GGTGACTTTTTTAAAAAAGAAGGAAGTTTCCTTCTGTGTCTGAAGGAATATAAGTGGCTCTCAGTCCCCTTCATATCCCAGCACCACAAAGAACCACTGAACACGCACTCTCAGTGCTCAGATTTGGTTTCTAATGTAATTCTTCTTAAAAGCAATGGGCGTCTTTTTGGAAAAGGGTTGATTTCATGTTTTGTGGCAGGGAAAATAAAAGTGGTTGGGAACATTTTGTTGTCATAAAGTAATCCTTTGGGAGGTATCTAGGAAAGTATCAAAAAGGAAAGTGTTTAAAAACCATGAAAGTAAGCATGCTAGTCAAACTGTAACAATTTGAGCATTAAAGGGAAACAGATGATAATCTTTCAGAATACATTGAGTCTGTTGGAAAAAGCCATGAATTCATATCACTGAAATGGGGAATGTAACACAAAGTTTGCTAAAACATTGTTGTAATGTACACTTAACAAATCTTGTTTATAATAAATGCTGTATTTGGTCCACACAAATTATGTGAATCCTATAGTAGAGTGTTGATTAGCAATCAGATTATTACAAAAAGGCTTATTTTTATAAAGAGATAAGAATTTAGAAATAAAAGCAGGGAATGGTTGAGTGAATCAGAGGGAAAATCTAGTGTAGTGTTTGGGGGAATGAATCAAGATTGGTTAATAGAAATAGATGTGTGAAGTCAGTGAATCCAGCCCAACATGTACAGATCACCAGAATTTTGTAAAGAAACTTAAAAAATAAGGAGAGGAAACTGCACAATGTTAACATTTTGCAACTATAAAAATGAAGGGTCCCGAAAACACAGACATGTTTGACCAAGTAGACAAGGTTTAAGTAATGGCAGAACTATGTGTGTGCATATATTTATGGACATATATATATATATATATATTTAGGAGCCTTGGTGGTGCAGTGATTAAAGCCCTCAGCTGCTAACCAAAAGGTCAGTGGTTCAAACCCATCAGTCGCTCTGTGGGAGAACGATGTTGCAGTCTCCTTCCCTGAAGATTACAGCCTTGGGAACCCTATAGGGCAGTTCTGCTCTGTCCTACAGGATCGCTATGAGCTGGAATCGACTCAACAGCAACAGGTTTTATATATATATTCTTTGGTGGGGCCATAATGTGGGGGCCATCTTGCCAGGTTAAACATATGTGTGTGTATATATATAAAATCTTTAAACATGCATAGGTATGTTTATGCTAATAATTTATATTATATGTTTATATGTTTATGCTAATAAATTATAATGAGAAAAAACACATACAAGTAAATTGTAATCAGAAGTAAAACCATCTTATTCCAGCTGCTCCACCTCAAGGAGGAGTTGGGAGGGGTCGGTGCAGCACAGCCTAACGTCACAAAAGAAATCAAATCTGTATGCATAGAAGCTTTGGATGCAGGTGACAATGTGATTTTCTTCCTTGGTGTGCTCACAACCAGGGTCATTGTTATTAGTTGCTATTGAGTCAATTCTGGATAGCAAGTGATTGTACCAGCATATTATCTTGCTTATTCTACTTGCCGACCCAACGGCAATCGATTTGGTTTTATATATACATATATGTGTTGTTGCTGTTAGGTGCCGTTGAGTCAGTTCCAATTCATAGCGACCCCATGTACAACAGAACGAAACACTGCCCAGTCCTGTGCCATCCTCACAATCGTTGTTATGCTTGAGCCTGTTGTTGCAGCCAGTGTGTCATTCCATATTGTTGAGGGTCTTCCTCTTTTTCACTGACCCTGTACTTTACCAAGCATGATGTTCTCCAGGGACTGATCCCTCCTGATAACATGTCCCAAGTATATGAGACATAGTCTTGCCATCCTCGCTTCTGAGGAGCATTCTGGTTGTACTTCCTCCAAGACAGATTGTTTGTTCTTTTGGCCCTGGTTGTACGGTGGTTAAGAGCTCAGGCTGCTAACCAAAATGTCGGTAGTTCAAATCCACCAGCACTTCTTGTAAACCCTATGGGGCAGTTCTACTCTGTCCTATAGGGTTGCTATGAGTCAGAATCTACTTGACAAGCAATGAGTTTGGTTTATATGTTATTGAGTTTTTGGTGAGAGTTTACACAGGAAATTAGGTTCCCATTTAACAATTTCTGCACATATTGTTCAGTGACATTGGTTATATTTTCCACATTGCGTCAAATTCTCATTATTTCTGGTCTGGTATTCCCGTTTCCATTATTCTTGCTTCCCTGCTCCCCGGGCTCCACCTTCTCATCTTTGCTTTAGGGTAAATATTGACTGTTTGCTGTCAAATAGATGATTGTTTTTGTTTGTTTGATAAGAAGAGCACTGTACTCAAGGGTGATACTGTTTATTTTATAAGCCAATCTATTATTTAGTTGAAAAGTGGCCTCCAGGAGTAGTTTCAGTTAATCGTTTGAAGGTTATCTCAGGGCTATAGTCTCAGGGGTTCCTCAGAGACTACCGGTCCAGTAAGTCTGGCCTTTTTTTTGTTATTATTGAAGATTTTGAGTTTTGTTCTAGAATTTTCTCCCATTCTATCTGGGACCATCTACTGTGGCCCCAGTCAGAATGGTCAGTAGTGGTAGCCGGACACCATCTAGTTCTTCTGGTCTCTGGATAGGTGAGGCTGCGGTTTGTGTAGGCATTTGGTCCTGTAGACTGGTTTCTTCTTTGAGTCTTTGTTTTCCTTCTTTCTCTTTTGCTCCAGATGAGTAGAGACCAATAGTAGTATCTTAGATAGCTGCTAGCAAGCTTTTAAGACCCCATATGCTACTTACCAAACTAAGATGTAGGACATAAACTTTATAGACTATGCTGTGCCAATTGACAGAGATGCCCCAAGAGACTATGATCCTAAGCCCTCCAACCCAATAAACCAATCTTTTGAGATGTTTAGTTATGTCTGGGAGGTATCCGTGACTGTGTCCCCATGTGCTTTATTATATGTATGAATATATGTACAGGACACACAAACATGTATATAGATTTGCCTACAGATACACCTATATATGCTTATGTATATACACACATATACCTTCCTATACACATGTATACATACATATCTATCTATGTAACCACTCATATTTTTTTGGTTATTACTGCTATTGTCAAATTGTATATGTTACAGTATTTACCAGTAATGCCCCTTATTCTTGTATATTTCTTAGTGTCATCGTTTACCTTCGTTAAGTTGCGCTCACTTCATCAATATTCAATGTTGCCTTTCCCATCACCAAAATTAACAAGTGTCTACTCTCTAGAGATCTCTAGAGAATGATTCCCCCCAACTTTCCATCTCTAGTAACCATCAAAGAACACTAATTTCTATATGTATACCTATTTTTGCCTTTTTATAAAAGTGGGATGATACAATATTTGTCCTTTTGTACTTGAGTTATTTCATGCAGCATAATGTCCTCCACATTCATCCACGTTATGTTTCAGAGACTCATTATTCTTTATAGCTACATAGTATTCCATTGTCTGTATATACCACATTTTGTTTATCCATTCATCCATTGATGGACACTTAGGTTGTTCCCATCTTTTTGCTATTGTGAATAATGATGCAATGAACAAAGGTGTGCATATGTCTATTTGTATCACTGCTATTAGATCTCTAGGGTATATTACCTAAGAATGGGATTGCTGGATCATAGGGTATTTCTATTTCTAGCTGTTTGAGGAAGAACTGTACCATTTTCCATTTTCCATTCCCTCCAGCAGTGGTTAAGTGTTCCAGTCTCCCCACAGCCTTGCCAGCGTTTGTTGTTTTCTGTTTTTTTGATCAGTGGCATTTTTGCATGGCTGAGATGGTATCTCATTGTAGTTTTGATTTGCATCTCTCTGATGGCTGATGATTGTGAGCATCTTTTCCTGTGTTTGTTGGCTGCTTGAATGTCCTGGGTTTGGTTTTTTGGTAGCAGCCCACAAAACTTGAGTTGCACTCTCCACTGTTAGTATTGACTAGGAGAGTTGAGGGGTAGGTTAATGGGACTTTTTCAGAAAAATTAACAGATTAAGCCAAAACAGGGCTTCAGATGCTGCAGAAATACATTCTAATTGACAGACTAGAATAGCTTTTGGTTGTCTCCAATGACAAATGCTGAACAGTAAACTGAACTTCAATGACAAAACTAGCAATTATAAATTTATCTCAGGATAAAAGTTAGGGCATTTTAAATAAATTATATGTTTGCTCTTAGACAGATTTATGGTGTTCATTGTAGGCAAAAAAAGAAATCCTTTTAGAGAAAATTTTTATTTATATTCTTAGACAATAAATAAATATTTAGGTATTCAAATTTATTCATTCGTGTTACTAACCAATACTTTTTTCCCAAGTTATATACTAAAAAGTCAGAATAGCCCATAAGATTACTTAAACGAATACTGGAAACTACACTTGTGTTGCCTGGAATGCAGTCTAACCACATTGTAAGTAATTTCCTTGTGGTATGCTTTCCGGGAGAGCAGAGAAAGAACGACATGTCATGTGTTTTGGTAATGCCATGAAATTTTCCTATCAGAATGCTGAAAGAAGTTAAGAAGTTTTTAGAAGTAGAAGTTTCTTAAGCTTGCAGAGTATTTGTTTTATCATTTTTGTTTAAATGGTAAACATATATATATTGTATGTATGCTATTATTTCATAACTTGACCTTTTAAAAGTAAACTGGGAAAATATTTATTACCTTTGTAAGAGCTCTTTAAAAATAAATGCAGATAGGTATAAACCCAGATTAAAAAATGAAAAATGTGTATCTTTTCACTAGTAATTTCACCTCTGGATATTTATCCTAAGGAAAAAAAATCAGATATTCATATACAAATTTAGGTATATGGGGGAAATCGATGATGTCGTATTTAGGGGGGAGGGATAGAATTATCGGACATTGAGTATATGAACAGTATAAAGTTATATGGTACTCTGTCTTTGCCTGAAGGAGATGTTAATAATGCATTGGAGAACCACATGTCAGTCGCTTTTCAAAGACTTTTTTTTTTTTTTTTCCAGAAAACAGAACCCATCCAAAAAAACTCCAAGGTCAGAATGGCTACTGTTTTAGCCAAGATCAATCGAGGAACATTCATTCAAGGATTACACAGCATATCCAGATCCTCTAAATCAGTGGCCAAGCTTCTGCAGCCTCAACTTGCTTGTAGGCTTTTAGAGTTAAGGGACATATCTGGTCGTTTGCTGAGGGAAGTTAATGTACCAAAGCAACCCCTATATAACATGCAGGTAAGTGAATATTGCGTTTGCACAAGACTTAGACTCTATTTTAGGAACTGTTTTGAATTTGCAAGATTTAGAAAATGAAAATGGAGCACATTGTGGTTGTCCTGCCTGTAAAACAGATATACTTGGATGAGAAATGAATGATTAGGCCTTTTTTTTCAATATAGTATATTCTCCCGTTTAATTAAGTCTGAAAGGAGACAATGTGGATTTTTTTCCCTACTTTATTATTAAATTGATCAGTATTAAATCGCCAATTTCAGATGGTTTAACTTTAAATATAAGTATGGAATTTTGCATTTATATCAAAACTTTTTTCACATAAACTTATGTTTCCCAGGTAATTTTTGTTTGATAGATTGAGTATAGTTAACTATAAATTCTTTCTGATAGACCTATCAACATTCAGGTATATTTCAAATGACATATTCTACATTGTTTTATTGAGGATCTGTTATGATGTTTTGTTAAATACAATGACTCTTAAAACTTTGTAAGGATGAATTTCTTTCTTCCTAAATTTTATGGCACAGAACTCTGGGTTTTTCAATCTGGGCATTATTCAAAGTGTCCTAAATTTAAACAACAAAAGATTTGAATCTGTAAGGCTATCATCTAAATCCCAGAGTGAACCAATCTGAATCCTTCTGTCAAAGGAAGAGAAAACCTGGCTTAATCTTGGTTAAACCAAAAAGAGATATATTTGTGTAGTCGAACATTCCAGAATTGATAAAGTTTCAGGCATAGCTGGATACAGGTACTCAAATGATGCCTTCAGGATCCTGCTTCCCTTCTTTTCCACCTCCCAGCTCTGCTTTCTCTATGTTGACTTCATTCTCAGACAGGCTTTCCCCTCATGGTCACAAGATGATTTGCAGCAGTTCCCAGGGCTACGTATTTCCAGGTTCAAATCTGGCAGAAAAGAGAGTCCTTGACCCAGCATTCCTGTGAAGTGTTAAGGTTCACTCTTATAGAATTGCTTAGGTCTCAGTGCTCACTGCTAAGCCACAGAAGTAGGATGCACTAATAGGCTAGGACTGGATGACCTGCTTCACCTTTAGAGTTGGGAGCGTAGCTTTATCTACAACACATGACCTGAGAGTGAGGAAAGGGTGAATCCTCAAACAAAAATTTGAGATGTTTTGGCAAAATGGATGCTGGATGACCAAAATCAGCAAATATCCTTTATACAGGAATCTCTCTTTAATCAAAAATTTTGACATTTTCAGAAATCATCAGGTATTTTAACTATGAATTGCCTGGGAACAGCATTTATAAGACTCCTTTGTAATACCTGATACCTGAGGAAATAAAAAACGGTTTATATTTGCTAACCAATGAATTCTCTTAAGCACTACAATTTCTATTCTTGTATCATTAGGTCATCAAAAAAGAAACATAGCTGAACAGTATTGTCTTAAAGTCCCAATGAAATACATTTCTGAATCTAAGGTTTTACATTCCTGTTACTTTCTTTGAATTGTCAAGCCCATGATTTTTCATAGGGGGTTGATAGAAGAAATCGCCTTTGAAGAATATTTCTTAGTACAAAATCATGTTTAAAGACACTGTCTATTATGTTATTAAAGTCCTCCTTTTACTGTTTTGCTCCTCCTTGTTAAGTCAGAACTGTGAAAGATCTGAGATTTCACCCTGTGTTTTTCCCACCACAGTTAAACACATGCGCGTACGCACACACATGCTCACTCTGACAAAAGACACAAACCCCTTGGATCAGAGATACAGAAGATTTATTATTTACAGCACGAGCAGCATCCAGAGCAATATCTTGTGTCGGTTCCCTATGCCTCAGTGACCTTAGGGCAACACGGTGAAGGCCAGACATTACCTGCGCATCTAGTAAGTTGCATCACAGCAGAGAAACCCTGAAATTAGGAGACTCTGAGCCTCTTACAGAGCAGCTGGCACATCTGCCCATCCTACCTCCAGAAAGAGAGATTACTCTTTACTCTGAAATGTAGGCAGATCTCCTCTAGAGGAGAAGGTGTCTCTAAGTTTCTTACCCTCAAGTGTAAGAATGTTTCAGGGGAAGGGAAGGAGAAGGCTTTTTCTTTAGTGCCCTGTGACATCTCCAGGGAGACATCTCTAGATCTTGCCAAAGAAATAAATTATCTATAGCTTCCAAGGCTATTTGCTATTCAAAACGTGTCCTTTGCTTAGAAGGTCTGGTCTGTGTAGCAATGAGAGAGATCTGTGGAGAATCGTTTCCCAACATTCATGAAAATTTAGTGGCAGAAAAAAAAAATCTGTCTTTACAATTGGATTTGTGTGTTTCCTATTACCCAATATTGAGAACTAAAAAACACAATGTGTTTGGTCTTTTGCCTTGACTGACAGTGAATTTCAGATAAATTTAGAGCTCAGTTGTGATAGCTAACTTCGGGAATCTGAGCTAAAAGAGGCTTAGGGAGTTATGTCACAGTCTAGTAGGCTAGAAGTCCAAATTCAGGGTGTCATCTCCAGGGGAAGGCTTTCTGTCTCTGTTAGCTCTGGAAGGAGGTCCTTGTCATCAATCTTCCCTTGGTCTAGGAGCTTCTCCGCTCAGGAACCCTGGGTCCAAAAGATGCACTCTGCTCCCGGCACTGCTTTCTTGGTGGTATGAGGTCCTCCATGTCTCTCTGCTAGCTTCTCTCTTTTATATCTTACAAGAGATTGGCTTAAAACACAACCTAATCTTGTAGATTGAGTCCTGCCTCATCAACATAACTGCCACTAATCCTATCTCATTAACATCATAGAGATAGGATTGACAATACATAGGAAAATCACATCAGATGACACAATGGAGGACAGTCACACAACACTGGGAATCATGGCCTAGCTAAGTTGACAGATATTTTTGGCGGACACAGTTCAATCCATGACAGTACTCATGGTGACCCTATGTGTTACAGAGTAGAACTGCTTCTTAGGGTTTTCTTGACTGTAATCTTTATGGAAGCAGATCACCAGGCATTCGGCAGTGCTGCTGAGTGAGTTTAAAATGTCAGCCTTTCAGTTATCAACCAAGTGCAAACCGTTTGTGCCACCCAGGGTCCTATATCTTTTCTAGAAGTTCTAATTGGTGTTTTCCCAAAATTCCTGCTTTTTTTCTTTTCTAAGTGTCTTTTACAGATTTATTCCTTTTTTAAAAAAAAAATCTCTCTGATCGTTTTAAAGATACTTATTTTGTGTTCTTTTTAAAGATTGTTTCATGAGGTATTTGGGGGAATGCTAGTCTTTCCGACTATTGTGACTTTTTTTGTCTCATTCATAATAGATCATTTCCTTATGTTTTGTAAATTTTATCTTAAAGTTGTTCTTCCACAGGAACTTTTTAAAACATAGAAATCCCTTCTGGCCTTGGTGGTGGAAATGTCCCAGGGTATTAGCAGCCCGGGACCAATCTTAATGTTAATTTTTCAACTTAGGTTTTCTTGTATCACACTGATAGCGTATATTCAGACTCCCTTATGTGGTGCAAGCTGGAGGTTTTGATCTCTCTTGAGAGAATTCTAGTCCCAGGTGGAGAACGGCTTCCTGACCTTCTTCCTGGGCTGGGTGGTACAGTTGTTCTCATCCCACTTTCACTGAGATCACAGCTCTGTAAAGGCCTAGTCCCTACCTTGTATGCAAACAAGTCTCATCTCTCCAGTCTCTATATTAAAACTTAGCTCCCAACCATTATTTTAGGGTCTAATACCATCCCCAGATTTCTTGGGACATCAGCTCACACTAATATCTGCTCTGGCTTAGTTCCCTCTTTGTTCCTGACACAGGGAGATTTATCTCTCTCTGTCTCTCTCTTTTGTAAACTCAGTCTTGTATTAAATTTTGAGGGTTTAATTTTATATAGAATTTCTAGATGGGAAGATTTCCACATTAGCTCAGTTGTCATGTTTCTGGAACAAGATGTCCTTTGACTTTAATTCTTAATACCCTCTTTTACAAGTTTAAATATTATAAGATGGTTAAATTTCTTTTTGGAAGTAAATGAAGTATGATTCTACTTTTTCATTCATTCAACAATTATTTATTGGGGACTGCATGTGTAAAATCACCGCTTTAGGGATTCAGAGATGTCTCACCCTTGCTCTTGGACTGTGGGTGGTGATAGGCCAGTAAGCAAAAAATGTCAATAGACAATAGCAAGTGCATGATACAAGTGTGCAAAGTATGCTAGGAAAGCATTAAGAAGGGGTATATAAGTCCAACAGAGTGGTCAGTGTAGGCTTTCTAGAAAATATGATACTGGATCTGAGACTTGAAGGATGAGGAATTATCCAGACAAATAAGTAGAAGAACCATTCCAGGGAAAGAACAATATATATTAAGATAGTGAGGTGAGAAAGACCAGGGCTTGTTTGGAGAACCTAAGTAGTTCCATATGGCTGGAGTGAAACAAGTGAGCACAGTGCCAGGTCAGAGATTCCAGGGTCCTTAGGATTTGGGTGTAAGAAACGAGGTTTACTTGGGTAATATGAAACAGCTAGAGTGGAGAATTAGAATGCCACTGAGAGGAAACTAAGTTATAATGAGGAAGAAAATCACATATGTCAAATATGAACAGCTTATTGAGAACACAAATAACAATATGAATAGTGAAGACAGTGGCCCGGAGAGCCAAAGATACAATAGAGTAATGTCTGAGGTGTGGTGGAGGTTAATGGATTAGTTTGTGATTGGAGTGTATCCATGGTACCAAATTGTGCTGAGGGATAAGTGTCATAGCTTGGAAGGGCTTACCCAGAGTGGATTCCAGATGAATATTCCTCCAAGAATTGTCAGGCTGCCTATGCCGAGGTGGAGCTTTGTGGTAGGGGGAAGTAATGAGAGTGAAAGTTTAAATTATTATGCAAGAGAATATGCATAATTGCGGATGCATGGAAGACATAGTTTATAAAACCTTAGCTATAGGAAGGTAAGTGGCCTGGTTAAACTGTCTGAAGGTTTGTTTCAGTGGCCCTGTTCCCAAGCTTTGGCCACTGATCTGAGGGTGATGA